TTCGTATGTTTGAACCATCTATGTTGTGGAAAGGAGTAGTAGTACTATAGATCGTGATTGCTTCTAGCTATAACCAGTGTTTTTGGCGCCCATAGATGACAGCCCTCCTTTCTTGGCATGTTCTTCAGACAAAAAGTATAAGGCAAGTTCTTTATTAAAGGTCTTGCCGGTAAATGGAGAGGAGAAAGAAGGGAAGGCCATCAATGGAGTTCATAACGTCAGTGATGAAGGTGAATTTGACCCAAGTGCACCTCCTCCGTTTAGGCTGGCCGAGATTCGAGCAGCCATTCCGAAGCACTGCTGGGTCAAGAATCCATGGCGGTCTGTGAGCTATGTCGTTAGGGATGTTCTTGTAGTTTTTGGATTGGTGGCAGTGGCAATTTACTTCAATAATTTGATTGTTTGGCCGGTTTACTGGGCTGTCCAGGGGACAATGTTTTGGGCACTGTTTGTTCTGGGGCATGATTGGTAATCACATACTCATCCTTTTGATTTTGGTGGTTTTACATAGTGTTCTGGATCTGATAAAGTAAACCCAATACTAATTTACCTAAAACTTTGTTCATTTTTCAATTTACAGTGGCCATGGAAGTTTCTCTGACAGCCCAACCCTGAATAGTTTCATTGGACATCTGCTGCATTCTTCAATTCTTGTACCCTACCATGGCTGGTAGGTTTTTGATAATTCTTGGTTCATGTCCTTCAGAACTTCATAAATGTGTGCCCATATTTAGTTGAGATAAGAATGCTGTTCAAGATTAATCACTGGTAATTGCAACAGGAGAATCAGTCACAGAACTCACCATCAGAACCACGGAAACGTTGAAAAAGATGAATCATGGGTTCCGGTATTGGTCCTTAATCCTTTATTGGTCATTCCTCTACTTATTTACCACGAATTACCACCACGATCGATCATTTGTTCGATGTGCAATTGTTAGTTGTAAATTTCTTTAGAATTCCTTATCACCCCCACTCACTAATGTTTACATTGTTGTATTGTTTACTCTTCTGGTTCCAGTTGCCCGAGAGGCTGTACAAGAATCTGAGTGTTTCTACCAAATTTCTTAGATTCAAAATTCCTTTTCCCCTGTTTGCATATCCTATATATCTGGTGAGGATTTATTATCCATAACACCCATTATTTCCTTCGGAACTAGTATGCATTTTGTTTGCGAACTCAGAAAATACTCTGTGTTTACTTGATGGATGCATTACAGTGGAGTAGGAGTCCAGGAAAGAAAGGTTCCCATTTCAACCCTTACAGTGATTTGTTCCACCCCAGTGAGAGGAAATTAGTGATCACTTCAACAGTCTGTTGGACTGTGATGGTTGCTCTGCTTGTCTACTTGTCCAATGTAATAGGTCTTGTTCAAATGCTAATGATCTATGGTGTTCCCTACTTGGTAAGTGATACCTTTTATTTCTCTCTAACAGAATAGTATTTGAAGTAGTTAAGTTTCTTCGGTTTTGTTGGGATCATTTAAACCTGTGTAAATCTGCAGATTTTCGTGATGTGGTTGGACATTGTTACTTACTTGCATCACCATGGCCATGAGCAGAAGCTTCCTTGGTATCGTAGCAAGGTTGTACTAATAATCCCATTTCAGTCTGCCTCTTATCAAGTTCTTTTTCTCAAAATATCTCTGGAAAAATATTGATACATGTAGAAGGTTATGCTAATGTTCTTGTCTGAACATTGAATAGGAATGGAGTTATCTAAGGGGAGGGCTTACGACAGTGGATCGTGATTACGGGTGGATCAATAACATCCACCATGACATTGGCACCCATGTTATACATCATCTCTTCCCTCAAATCCCACATTATCACTTAGTTGAAGCGGTACTACCTCAATTGCCAAAAAGATAGGATTTCACTAGCAAATTTTATTGAGTAAAGTCCCTTCTTCTAACAGTTTCATATTGTCATCTTGCAGACAAAGGCAGCTAAGCCAGTGTTCGGCAAGTATTACCGAGATCCAAAAAAATCTGGGCCAATTCCATTCCACTTGATCAGTAATCTAGTGAGAAGCATTCAGCAAGACCACTTTGTTAGTGACAGTGGAGACATTGTGTTCTATCAGACTGATTCTCAACTTTATGGATCTCCTGGTAGCAAGGATGAATGACTATGCAATACAGTCAAAACAGGGGATGTAATCCAGTAACATTGTTACAGCACCTCATACTTCATGATTTAGACTCATTTATGTTGCCCATGGTGGGTAAATAATTAATCTCTAGAGAAATAACATTAGGCATTTGTTAGCCATGATTATCATGTTGTGGCACATTTTGCTGGTTTTTCAGGATGTTATGTGATGAGGATTTAGAAATATTCCTCAGCGAATTTACTGTGTTTTTTATTATTTGAGCGGAAATGATAGTTTCAGATTTTTGTCTCTAAGATTGGTTCAAATGCATTATCTATTTGTGATTACTTACTTTTATCTCGACATATATGGAGTGAAAACACTAGAATTCAGTCTAAAATCCTGAAACTAGAGAAATTGGAATAAAACATTCTATTTAACCTCTACAGACCTTGTTAGCAACACGAAATTGATATGCAAATTACCCATTTGGAATTACAGCAATACGAAGGTGCATACACTGGCAAGTTTATAAAGGCAGATGTCTCTCCCAGTTAGAAAATATCACAAGTACACTGAGTTCAACCTTGGCTATAAAACAAGTGGGTGAAGTTATTCTAGATTAGATGAACGTGCATTACAACATAATTCTATGACTTCCAGGACCTTGTCACCACGATGCACGAAAACAGAAAAAATAGAAAATAAGATGGAGTTGGTCTGATTATCCTCGTACAGTTGATCAAGTTGTGAATCAGGAAATTGAATTTTAATTAATTTCTACAATTTTTGTGCAAAGCTAGATGATCATATACTTTTTCTCAGAATATCTGACAGGATGGGGACTAGATTGTTCAATCTCAGCCATTACTTTTTTTTACATACGTCTGGTCCACCACATAGAATTGTGACGTAAAAGAGGAATCATCTCAGTGTAAATCCTTTTGGCTTTACCAGTCTGCAGCTTCCAAACAAGAAAGCCAAGGAAACAATAGAACAGAGGAAACAGGTCTAGACACATATGGTCGCTGAAAGGCCTTGCATTAACCGTCCGGCCAACGCTATTATGAGTCTATGACTTATAGCTGCGGACTGCAGTGTCCAATTGATCACTACACATATTCAAAATCAAAACACTCCAGATTAATCTTGGCACGGTGCCGTAGCTTTATCCCAATTTAAGAGTCCAAAAAGTCACCATCTTCGGCTGACCCCCTCCACCAACACCCAGAAAAAGAACTATGGTCAGTTTTGAGGACTATAGGTCCTTTCTGACACTTACCGTGCCAGCACTATTGTTGTCTCACCAGTCTGGCAATCGCCATATATACTCTCTCTCCCCCATATATTCTTTTTCTCTTATGTTGTATAATTAAGGGTAATTCATGTCTGAATATACAATATAATGTGATTGGTTTTAAGAGAGACGTTAGAAGTTGTTGAATGATTCTATTTGAGACTGTCAGATAAGTTTATTAAAATCTACCTTGTTTTATATTATACATTTGCTTAATCTAATAGGAAGTGAGAACTCAATTAGAAGGCCTAAGCTTTTTCCTCATCATTAAGTGAGAAAATATGATTAATAAAGTTACATAGGATTTTTTTTTTTTTTAAAATCTTGTCAAGGAGATCCGTTATGTCTCCTCTCTTTGTACATTTGATTTCATTTATCAACTGACTTCCATGATAAAAGATGGTGTGGCTTTTATAGCCCTGGTTTTGAGATCTCCTCGACCTATGCCAAATTTTATATTCCTTACTTCCTTGATTAAAAGCATAAAATAAAGGATGTTAATTTGAATAAATTCACACTAGATACTCCTTATTCTGACTTTATCTTTAGATGATGCTCCTATAATAACTTAGTCAGATCATTTCTAACACATTTTTTTTAATTTTTTTTAGTAGATCACGTATAATACATTGAAGTAAGACTCATTATATACACATGAATCTTTCGCTTAGATTACCCCCTTAGATAAGAGGGTGCATGTTTGAGCCAATTTGTTGGACAAATTGCAAAAAATTGACTGTTCAGCGCGCGTGGGAACCTCTGTCCTTCCTTTTGTCTATCAAAGCAGTAACATGTCACCAACATTCAAATGCAAAGCCCGCCACGACCTTTTCTCTTTCACTCGCAACATTCAAATCTCTCTCTCCTCTGTTTGCTTTTCTTCTCATTCGCTGTTCCTTTGGCTAGTTAAGACTCATTTTCTCCCTTTTCACACAATTCGAACTCAGAGGTCCTCACATTGATCCAAGATTAAGTTCTTGTCTCTCTCTCCGTCCACTCTGTTTGCTTTTTCTTGTCATTCACTGTTCTTTTTGCTAGTTAATTGATAATTCTACATAACCCAATTCTCTTTTTTCCCTTTTTCTCACAATTCGAACTCGGAGATCGTTCATTGATCCAACATGAAGTAAGCTTCTTCCTCTCTCTCTCTCTCTCTGTTTTTCTTCTCATTCACTGTTCCTTTTGCTTGTTAAGTGAATTTCTACATTACCCAACTACTATTTTTTCCCTTTTTCACAGAATTCGAACTCAATGGTCCTCCGTTGATCCAATATGAAGTTCTTGTCTTCCTCTCTCTCTTTCCTCTGTTTGATTTTCCTGTCCTTCACTGTTCCTTTTTCTGTTGTTAATTGAAAATTCAACATTACCCAACTTTCTTGTTTCACCTTTTCACACAATTCGAACTCAGAGGCCCTCCATTGATCCAAGGTGAAGCTCTTGTCTTCTTCTTCTCTCTCTCTCTCTCTCTCTCTAATCTATTTCCTTTTCTGGCTATTCACTGTTTTTGGCTAGTTAATTGAAATTTCAACGTTATCCAACACCCCCCCCCCGCCCTTTTTTTTGACCTAATTTCGCAAAATTCGAACTGAGTTCTTTCATTGATCGAACATGAAGTTGCTGTCTTCCTCTTCGTCCTCAGCTTCCTCCACCATTACAACTGCCACTACCACCTCCTCTTTCGGTGGCAATTCAAAAAGTTCCACTGCTGGGTGTCTTTCTGGAATGCTGCGACGACTACTCTGTTTTAATAGCCTTCCTACCCACCCCTTTGATCACATTAAAGAAGCCTATGATGAGGCCATTGGGTGTGACAAGCTCCAATACTTGAAGGCAGAGGAAAGGGTCGAGGCCCCGGAAACTCCAGGGATTGTGGCAAGACTCATGGGTTTGGAATCAATTCCGCGGATTGATGTATCTAATAACCCAAAATGTTTCAATTCAATTGCAAGAAGCAGGTCAATGAATTCTATGGATGTAATGAGGGAATTTAAGTCAATACAGGGGAGGCATCGACGTGTTCAGAGCTTTCGTGAAGCTCCAACCTTCGTAGAGTTAGAAGATGAGCAATTCCTTATTCTTAGCTTTGAGACTGGAGGTGAAACTAAGGAATTGAGATCGAAATCAAGAGATTCGGAGAAGGGTTTTGGAGAATTAAAGCACAGAAGAGCAGAAAAATGGAAAAACAAGAATAAGAGAAGACAGACAGTTTATGAAAAGAATAAAGAAAATCAAGACGCTAATAAGGGCTCAGCAGAGAAGGTGAATAGGGTGGTCACTCCCAAGCCCTCTCAAAAGGTTCGAAATGGTGGCAAAGTTAAAGATTCAAGTAACATTCTTCGTCCCACAAAGAAGTTTGAAGCAAATTTGCAGCTTGCCGTGGAGGTTGAAAAGCAGTCAAAGCCTATAAAAAACAAACAAAACCTTGAAGGAGGAAGGTCAAGGAAGAAGAAAGAAAATAACTTGCCAATTGAGAGAGTAGAAAGGAATAGTGATTCTGAAAATACAAGCCCAGTTTCTGTTCTTGATTTTGGCGATTTTCCAATCGATCCAGAAGTTCCTACTTCAGGTTTGTTTGCTCAATTTTATGCATATCTTGATAGGAGGGACATCTATAATTTGGTTTATACTTCAATTTCTGATAGTTGCATTTCTTATATTGTTCTTTTCTTTTGATAAAGTACTGACATTGTTTGAATATTTCTACCAGATGACATTTCAAGGTTGGATGGTTCAAATATAAGGAGGACCCTACTGGAGGATCTTAAAAATTACCAGCACTCAAATGAATCTGACAGCCATATTTCAATCAGTGCTGATTCTGAAACTAGGAAAATTGAGGGAAAATGCGCCCGATCCAAGAAGAAAGATCACCAGGGTCAGAACCATGTAGAGATGTGGGCTGAAATTTGCAAATTGGCTGAAGCAGACATGAAACAATCACATTGGATGTACAGGAAGCCTGGAGATTTTGAAGAGATTGGTGCAGATTTTGGGTTAGACATTCTTGACCAACTCTTAGCTGAACTGGTATATGAACTTGTGGGGACATGTCAAGAATATTTTTGATTTGTAATAATACTTAAAAGATTTTACCTTTTTTTTTTCCCTCAGCTGAATTGAAGACTCTTTAAATGTACTTTACACTGATCTCTGTAAAAAAGTAACTCTTTTATTGACCTGTCTGAAGTAAAATGTAAATCCTTGGATGTCCAGAGTCCGAAGAAAAGCAAAAGGTTTGGAGGGCTAATGTTTTGTTAATCAAAACAAAGCAAGATCAAACATCATACATTGATTCAGAAACTTGCACCATTGGATATCTTTTTAAAAAAAAAAAAAATTCTTTTTGATTCAACTACTAATCTACACAACGAGAGCTATTCCCCAAACCCATCCACTTCTGAATGAAGACACAATTCAATCCTACCCAGAGATATTATCAAATTGGTTTACCGACTCTTTCTCTGCATAGATAGATTCCACAGTTTTAATGTGGGGCGATATTGTATGATGTGGCAGCCGATGAATGGTTGACCTTAAACCCGTTGGTTTTCGGCTTTAGCCGGATGGAAGTTAGTCTCTTCAACTAATGCAGCAGAAACACATACAAGTATTTTCCAGCAGGCAAACAAACAGGGAAGAATGTTCATACAATTTAAAATTTAAAGAATATACACCCGTTGCTTGGATGATTCTTGTGCTTTTGCCATTCAGTTGCCCGATAGTTCGAATGGGAAAATCACATGGTTAATGCATTGAGGTGTTAAGTTAAAGATGATTGTGTGCATCAAATGTCAGCATTGTATTCACATATCCAGATAACATCGATCGTTCTTCACTTAAAATTTTAAAATAAAGCTACCATATCTTGAGAAACATTGAAACAGGGGCCAAATCATACTAAACCCATTGGACTGAACAACATAGTACTTCAAGTAACAACATGGCATCAGACTATCTAAGATCAGATAAGTAGTTTGGGGTTAGAATCTTAATCATCTATCAGAAGGGGAAAAGTTTGAGGACCAATGTCCTTGTTTGGATGAGAGCAGTAATTTTCTTTTTCTTTTGAAAATGCTCTTGGCACGATCAAGTATCAAGACACCCACTGAGAAGAATTAAGGTTAGGCTGAAAGGACAGCCCAAGTGCTCATTAACCTCATTGTCAACCAAACAACAAATCTGCTTTTTGGAAGCCGAAAGCAATTCATACTATGTGAATTGAAAAGGTCAAAAGAGAAAAGGGAAGTGGAAGCAAACAGGACAATGAAGCCATTAAATTGAACTTTGCAGGGAAAGGTATTGAGCTCAAGAACCGTAGCCTGTATAGGCTAATAATAGCTATTGCATTTCCAACTCATTAGTGTCCGTAGAATCTCAAAGCATTAGTATCAATCTACATGGATCTGCAAACCAGATATCAGGAGAGGGGCGGCTAAACAGTGTTGTAATAAAATGTTGCACTTTAAGGCTCCATTTTTCAAAAAGACCTCAAATATTTAGATATTATAAGTAGTCCATGTAAAAAAATTAAATCCATAAATACTTTAAACCCTACAAAAAAGTTTTATAAAAACACAATTTCAATCAAGAAAAAATTTAAAACCTCACTTTAAGGAAGACCTCATAATTTATAGGTGTGGAGTAATAGTCAAAATAAAAAAATTAAATTCATGTCCAAACAAAAAATTTCAACTTCAATAGATTGGACTTATTTAGGGGTGTTCACCCTACCCTACGTTTTCTTATCCGATACTTTGCGAAAGAATTTTTTTTTTGGCCTACCCTACCCGATTAATTGGGTCGGAAGTTAGGTAGGAAGTCGGATAAACACTTTTGTAACTATTAATTTTTTGATCATTTTAATAATTCAATTAAATAACATGCACCAATTGAACAATACAATAAATCAATAACACTAAAACCTAAAACAACTACAACAACAGTTACAATAAAACATAACAAAGTATGAAAATCAATTCATCATAATTATTACACAAATACAATAATAATTATCTTAAGTTTAAACCATATGAAATACATTAAAATCTTAACTGCTCCAATAGATCACCAGTTCACCACAAATCATGTAACCTATACAAAAAACAAGTCCATGTTTTCGCAACTCAAACATCCACAACAATAACAATGTCATAATATAAATTATATCACACAAATACTCTTATAATTACTAAAAAAATACAAAAAATTTAAATATATTTTTTGCGGGTAGGGTAGGATAGGAATGCAGAAATTGATGAATATTCCGCATTCCGACCCGATTTTTGCAGCTAGTCATTCAGTAGGGTATGGTAGGGCCGGGTAGGTTAGAAAATTACGGCCAATCGAAAATTTGAACACCCCTAGACCTATTAATTTAGTTGTGAAATTAAAATGCCCTAAAATTTATTTATTTTTTTAAAAAAGGAAAAAAAATTCACAGTAAAATTAAAGCTACTAAAAATCTAGTCTTAACCCCCCAAAAAAGTCAAATTTAAATTTACCATCATAATTTTTCCATAATTTTTTCTTTCTTTTACCATCAAGTTCAAAAATGATAACAAAAACTTGAATATAAAATTTTAATTAATATATTTTTATTTAAAAAAAAATTAAATTTATTATTAGTATTAAAAATAAAAATACCTCATTTATCATTTCTACTTTAGACCCCAAAATGACTTAGGCCGCCCTGTATTATGTTCAATAATTAGGACTCATTCCAATTTCTCAATCGATTTATTTATTTGGTTGTTTCCTACTATATTGTGTCAACTAGCAACAGGGATGACATGTTGTTACCATTGCACTCGCGAAGAATAAAGGCATGAAATATTCCGACTTCATTATGCCAGCGTACTATGCACATGTAACTCATGGAGAGGGAAGACACTAGAATAAAATAACTTATTTAAATGAATTATACACCCACATCACTTAATATATAAATAGAGGTTGTGTCAAACTTATTGTTGGAACTCCACTCAATTAATACCACCAAGAAAAAAAGGAAAATGACGTGCTTACCAAAACTCCAGATGTTTGGATCTAAAATATAAAATTATGAGAATATTCAATACACAAATACTTGGCGAATTAGGGATATTAAGGAATAGGTCACCTGGCAGAATTTGGAAAAAAAGGGGAAATGGTCAACATAGCTTTATTTGAAAAATGAACAGAGAAATAATTGTATGAGAATTACAAGTTAGATAACCATCAATGGAGATGAATTGAGGATAATAGCTCTAAAAAGCAAAAAAAGTAGGAAGTTGAAGGACAGATTCAAACCCCTACAAGACCCACGATCTAGACATTTTTAGGAGTAGTGTTAAGTTAGTTTTTATGAAGTAGTTACTGAGGCTATTAATTTAGTCTTTCTATAACTGAAAACCCTTCGATTGAATTAATAAAAAAATTCCCTTTTATTAGTTCATGATTCTATGTGTTTATTGATTTGAATTTCATTCAAGAAAGTTTTGAAACAAGGTAATTGAATTCATCACTAACAATCGCCTGAAAATTATCTTTCGATTGAGTATCTTCTGTCGATAACAATAGATTTTTGGAACAACAATCTTTTGGCACGCTCGATGGGACACTATTCCTAACTTGGAGCAAAGAAAATGGTGAAAACTATGAAACAAGATGATATTGTGTTTGGAACTAATGAAACTATAGAAAGGACGCCAACAAGTGGCAATCATGAAATAAGTTTGAGTACCAATCCAGTGGAGCCTGCGAATCCTAGGAATGGCTAATCCAATGGCCACGAAAATTTGCATATGCAAGAGTTTGTGTAGAATTTAAAACAGTTATTGCACAATCCTAATTTTGGCATTAGGTAGGACTTAGTTAATGTCATGCTTGAGTTGAATAATGTCCGAACACTAATGTTAGGGCCAATTAATCAAAAATTAAATATTGTGGTGGAGGAAGTGAGATTGAGCTTAATGAGGAACCAAGTGGTGTTCCCTGTGGTGGAGGAAGGAACCAATTAATCAGGAACCTAGTGGTGGAGGAAGGAAACACCAGTCCTATGGTGTTCCCTGTGGAAAACCAGCGACCAACAACAACAATTATTAATGAAAGACCAGGCTTATCACACAAAAACCACTTTAACATGGTGTTTAATGGGGAGCCTATCGAAGTATTCCCAAATTTCTTCTCAGGGAGAAATCCTAGGGAAGAAATAGGCCAAGGATGGCCCTTGAGTTCCCTAGAAGAGGTTATGAGAGGCATGTCATGCCTCAAATGGAACCCATAGGGTATGTTTGGGTAGTGGGATAAGATAGGTGCCCTCATAAAGGTAGACTAACAATGCAATGGGTCCCACATATCCCTTGTTTGGGAAGCCAAAGTTGGGCTTGGATATTAATTTTGGTTCTATCCTTGACCTGAGTGCTATAATGCCTTTTAACCCTCCTCCATGGGTTAAAATTAACCCACATCCACCCTAAGTTTTGCTCCTAACTGACATGTTTTGTAAGGGTAATGACATATTCACCCCTCTTCTCTACCTTAGGTTGAGAACTCCCTCTCTCTTTCTTTCTCGCTATGTAAAAGCGACGAAGAAGACGAACGTCTGTCGTTCTCTCTCTATCTCTCTCTCCTTATCTAGATCGAACGAAAAAAATATCTTCACCAGCATCACCCCCAACCTCAACTGTTCAAAGTCACCATCGTTAACAATCACCATCGTTAACAATCACCATCATTGAAACCTTTCTTCCACTACTTCGTTCTCCAAAGTTCTGCTGTTTTCCCCTAATAAACCCACCAGTGGTGGTGGTGTGGCCCCCACAAAAATGATATCGTTACCCTTTGAAAAAGTTTCCCCATTCCTAGGGCTCAAAGTAGGGTTCAAATCAGAACTAGAACTGTTCCTCTGCTTATGCTCTGATTCACTCCTCGGTGTCAGCAACCAACCCAACCACACCTTCCTCTATGGCATAAAATTCACAAAATTTTTTCAAACAGGCCCTTCAAGAATCCCCAATTTATTGATCATAGATACATAATTCAAATATTATACTCTATTTAAGACTACAAACAAATAAAAAGCCCTTG